CTTGAGACTCAAAGTTAACCTCTTAATGGCCATGTAGAACTCATCACTTCTCTATTCCAAAATCAAGCCGCTGTCATTATCAAAGTTTCACATGGAACTGTCGAAGTTCATTGGATATATAACACCCAAGACTTTACAATCACACATATGAACCTTTGAAAACACATAACGCTTCCAACTGGATTGAGATCGAGAAACTGTTATAATTGAACTGTAAGAATGTTAGAAAGTCACAACTATTCTTTGCTCACCCTTACAAGACTGCTAAAGTCTTTTATCAAACGATACTTGATTAACTCATTCATGGATGCAAACTGCAAAAACCAAAAGCTAGTACTCTTGCAGTTTGAACTTTAAACCATTTGTTAAAAACTTAATGGCAATATACGCAGAACGAAAAATCTCCAGACTTATATTATCAAATTGTCATACTAATTAAAATAACAAAAAGAAATTGTAAACTGTAAATTCTAGCTCCCACTGACTTTAAGCTTCAAAATTTACTAACAGACCCATGCTATTATCATGCCTATGAAACGCATGGTTAGGCAGAGCTTTATTTAAAGGGTTTGTACCAATATGATTCAAAGTTGTTTAACCATCTCGGATCTTTTCTTTGGCTGATAGAAACTTCAACTGCAGATGCCTCATTCTTGATGACCTTCTATTTCCTTTTGCAAAATATACTGCTGCACTATTGTCATTCCACAACTGTATGGGTCTCTGCATAGATCTACAACTTTCAACATAGACATGAAGCTCTTAAGCCACATTGCCATAGAGGTGGTTTCATATATTGCCAAAAATTCTGCTTGCATGGTTGAAGTCGACACATATTGCTGCCTAACACTTTTCCAAACTACTGCTCCTTCTGCAAACATAAACACTACTACTGATGTGCACTCTTTGGTATCCAAACAACCAGCAAATCAACATCTCTATATCCTTCCAGTCGCAAATCCTCCATTCTTCTATAAACCAGTTTGTATTCCTTAGTTCTCTATAAATATCTTAACACCTTCTTACCTGCAAACCCAATAAGCTTGTCCTGGATTTGATTGAAACCTTCCAAGGACACTAATGCAGAAAGCAAGGTCAGGTCTAGTACAAACTTGTGCATACATTAATAATATTATATATAATATTTTTTAATATCTTCGGTTTGGTTTGGTTAAACCGTGGGTTTGAATATTGCAAACCGTACATTGAACCATATATTTCGGTTTGGTTTGGGTTCAAACCGATGACCAAAAAAAAATTGTAAAAAAACCAAACCAACCCAACCCATTGGTTTGGTTTGGGCGGGTTGGCCGGGTTTCGAGTCCAAATGCCCGCCCTAGTGTTAGATATATGCCATAGAAGCCAATATAAAAATGGATAATACTAGGGAAATAATATATATATATATATAATAATCAAAGGGGCAAGAACGTTGCTTTAGATACATAACATACACAAAGTTACAAGTCCATGGATTAAGATATAAATGAAAAGTGGTCTAAAGAAGTTAGATGAGTTAGATGCACGAGACCTTTCCATACATATGAATATCGTATCCTAAAATGTTCCTGGTCATAGGATCACCAATTGGACAATGGTGACCCACAAAGACTAGTACACATTATGTCTGCTCAATTGGGAGGATGACTAGTCTCAGTCATTCGTGTAGAGACATTGAGACAGATGTGTAGGTGCTCTATAGAAAATGGAGTCCACTGAACGCGATCAACTATAGAATTCTTGTATGGAAGTCTTACTCACAAGTGTTAAACAAAGAATTCTAAGTTGTGATCATACAAATTAATCCTTAGACCTAAGACATCACAGTTGTCTTGTGTATATGTTGTTTCTCTTTGAGAGCACTATACAGTCGTATCAAAATAATGTGACTTAAAGGTGTTCCTCAAGATTCTCAGCATGTACGTAAAGGCAGGTGAATGTACAACAAGGAATCTATGCTTTTAGTAAGAAAAGAGAATACTGTATAGATATGATTCATGAATCTTTTGCCAAAGTATTGGATGGAAATTGAAACAAGAACGTTTGCAATTTCATCAAATTGAATAATATAATCTAGAGATGTCATATTAGGGATTTTGACACAAGTTTACCATATCCTGAGAATATGACATAGAGTATTGAATTAGAGAATGATCGAATTGCATTGTAATCACAAACTGACTAGGTTCTCTAAATGAATTCTTTTTAGCTTGGGTAGCCATGACATATTGTTAGGTGTCACTCATGGCTTGTGGAAGCCCTGTAAGGACTAATTATAATTAGCCTTCGCCAATAGAGAGAATTGTATGGAGGGATACAATTCACATTTGATTTAAAGTGAATCATTTATACCCACTATCTCGCTAATTAGAACCTATAAGATCGCACACCGAAAAGGAATCGATTGGGAAATTAAGAAGAGAATGAATGATTTTTTGACTTGGTCAAATTCAATGTGAATGTTAAAGGTCAAAGTCAAAATTCAAAGGTCAAAGGTCAAACGATTGACCCGACACTTGACATGGTCAACTAAGGATGATCAGGACCAACATTTGTTAGACAAGTGAGTGATTAAATTAGTTAAGTCACTGGAGTAATTAAATTGATTAGATTAATTTAATTATTCAATTAAAGTTATGAAACTTTAATTAAAGGTCCCAAATGACTTGGAAATTCAAAAGGGATTTGACCATATGGACTTAGGCACCTATGTGACACATTATAGGATTAATGTATTAGACCAAGATAGCACAAAAGATGACACACAAGGGGGGGGGGGAGGGGGTGTGGCGCTAAGGCATGAGGGTATTTTTGTCACTCTTGTGACATTTTTTGATCCTATAAGTGTGTAGCTATGGTATCCTATCATCCTATGGTTTTCAAGTTGGTGAAATTGGAAGAGAGAAAACATCAAGCTCTCTCTCCTTAACCCCTTGAATCTATCACATCAAGTGAGGGTGCTAGCACCATTCTTCACTTGTTGTCTACTCATTTTCTCATCCCATTCAATCCTTGGTAAAGAGCTTTGAGGAGGTGCATATCTTTGTATTAGATATGGTATCCCTAGATATGGCATGCTAGTTGATTTATACTCTCAAAGTTTGGTTGTAGAGTTTTTAGAAATCTCTACACAACACCATTCCCACAATATTCCCTTCAATGGGCACATCACAACCTGTGCAATTATCCATGTTGAATCTGTTGAGTATTCTTTCAACATAGCCTTTCTGAGATAAACCAAGTAACTTTCTTTTCTGTCCCTTATAATTTTGATTCCCAAAACATAGTTGGCTTCTCCTAGATCACTTATGTCAAAATGATTAGATAACATCCTCTTGGTGTCATGAAGTAGAGACAAATTACTGCTTGCCAAAAGAATGTCATCAACGTATAAAAGCATGAATAAAACGTATGTTCCATTAAACTTCATATAAATTCATTCATCCATTGGATTATCAAATAAAACCTTGAGATTTCACTACTTCATCAAATTTCAAATACCACTGCCTTGAGGCTTGTTTTAAACCATACATAGATTTCTATAGTCTACAAACTAGATCTTCTTCCCCTTTAAAACAAAAACCATCTGGTTGCTTCATGTAGATCTCCTCATTGAGGTTCCCATTTAAAAAAGCAGTCTTAACATCCATTTGATGAAGGTGTAGATCAAAGTGCGTTACCAAAGCCATTATCACCCTAAATGAATCCTTGGTAGAAACTGGAGAAAAAGTTTCATTGTAGTCCACCCTTTCCTGTTGAGTGTAGTCTTTTGCCACTAGTCTAGCCTTATATCTATCAATTTTTCCTTGTATATTTTTCTTTGTTTTGTAAACCTACTTGCAGCTTATAGGTTTACAACTCTGTGGCAGTTTGACAAGTTTCCAAACTCCATTCTAGCTCATTGAATCGAGTTCAGATTCCATAGCTGCCATCCAATGTTCACTTCTGTCACTTTCCACAGCTTGTTTGAAAGTGACAGGATCCTTCAAGTTGTTGATATCTTGTTCAGCTTCTTGCAAATAAACATAATAGTCATATGGCAAAGCTGGCCTTCTAGGTCTTTAAGACCTTCTTAGTTCTTGGTTATGAGGTTGTGCCACTTTTGTATCTCGGGTTTTGCATTTATTTCCTGATCATGGTGGTCATCTTCATGAATTGGTGTGACTACTTTGTTAACAAATGGAATTGCTGTAGTCTTTTTTCCTTGTTTTTTCTTTTACTGCAAGTTCATGATGCTCTAATATTTCATCAAACTCAAATTCGACCCTTTCATTTTCTATATTCTCCTATTCAATGAAGATTGCCCTTTGTGTCTCTACAAACCTTGTATTGTGCTTTGGATAGTAAAATATGTAGCCTTTTGTTCTGTCTGGATACCCCCACAAAATAACAACTAATTGTCTTTGAGTCAAGTTCTCAAGTGATTAAAACTTGGTTTTCTATTGCACCAGATTTCACAGGGAGTTCTATCGACACTTTTAGTAGGTGTTCTATTAAGCAAGTAATTTGCTATCTTCAAAGCTTCTCCTCATAAGAAATTTGGTGGTGCTATGCAACACATCATGCTTTTCACCATTTCTATCAAAGTTCTGTTTCTTCTCTTTGAAACACCATTTTGCTAAGGTGTTCTAGGATTTGTGTACTGAGCCACAATGCCTTCTTGTTTTCTACCTTTCTCAGTGAATTTTCCATAGAACTCTCCACCTCTATCAGACCTTACTACCTTTATCTTCGAATCTAATTGCTTTTCCACTTCAGCTTTGTAAATTTTAAACATGTCTAAGGCTTTTGATTTTTTCTGTTATCAAATACACATATCCATACCTTCAGAAATCATTTGTGAAAGTTATAAAATATTTATAACCATCATGTGTATCGATTGGAAAAAGTCCACATATATCAATATGTATAATCTCTAGCAATTTTTCACTCCTTATCGCTCCTTTCTTTCGCAAGTTTCTCATTTTTCCTTTGCACATTCAATGCAGACTTTATCTTTATCATGGTGATTTAGTGGTGGTAGCATAGATTCTTTGCTTAAGAGGTTCATCCTTTCTTTTGAGATATGTCCAAGTCTTGTATGCCAAAGTGTACATGATTCTTTTGTTCTTAATTGTTTTCTGCATATCACATTTAAACTTGCAGTGCTTTGATTTGGAGAATTGCAATTTAGATGATACATTCCATCAACAATAATGCCATTACCAACAAAACTTTTATTTCTGAAAATGGAGAATCCAAACTTATCAAACTCGAACTGTAAGTTTGATTGAACAAGTTTACTATAAAAGGTTCCTTGTCATAGAAGGAACATAAACTACATATACTAAATCCAAAATAAAACCAGAATCTAAAACAAGACTAGCTAAACCAATAAATTATACTTTGACTATTTCTCCATTTCCCACGAACACCTTCAAGCCATCCTTGCTTGGCACCCTCTTGCTTTTGAACCCCTGCAAAGAATTAGCTACATGAACTGTTGCACCACTGTCTAACCACCATGAATAAGATAAAACTTCAACTATGTTAGATTCACAAACTACTGAAACCAAATTATTCTTACCTTTTGCCTTCTATTTTTCCAGCCAACATTTATACCTTCTGCAAGCTATCTTCATATGTCCAAATTTTCTGCAAATGAAACATTTTAGGCCTACTGGATTAAGTCCTTTTGAATCTTCTTCCTTCTTATTTTTCTTGCCTGCAGTTTTGTTCTTAACAGTCTCCTTGGCTTTTGGTTTGGCTTCATGTACAAATTGACATGCTCCTCAGCTTTCTCCTTTCTTACATTTTGCTCATCCTGCACACATATGCTTATGAGGTCTATTATCGTCCAGATTTCCTTTTGAGCCACATATGTGCTTTTGAGATGTCTAAAAACATTTGGCAGAGAATTAATAGCAAAGTGTACCATCATTGTCTCGTCTACATTGACATTGAGTGCTTTCAATTTGTTCCCAATCTCGAGCATATTGAGTATGTGAGTCATAACACAATCCTCTCCATTGTACTTGACATCAATGAGTTGCCCCATCAATGTACCTATCTCAGCCTTCTTTGATTCTTGGAAAAACTCCCCAATTGACTTAAGAAAATCTTTTGCATTTTCAGATGTTGTTATGCTCCCTTTAACAGATGGAGAAATCGACCTCTTCATAATCAAGATAGCATCTTATTTGCCTTGATCCATTTGGCATACTTAATCTTAATATCTGCAGATGCATTAGCAGCAGGTACCATAGGAGCATCTTCTTCCAAAACCATTTCATAGTCGAGCAATCCTAAAGCAATTTCCAAGTCCTCTCTCCATTTCTTATATTTTAAGCCAATGAGAGTCTCAATTGAGTTGTGGTTAACTGAAAAACATATAAACATGTATACTTCAAACTTTAGGCCCAAAACTTTAAATTAAATATGTTCGATCCTCACCTTTAGGCAGAGATTCGATCATATTTATCAACCACTGAGGTATGAAGAAATACAAACTTCTTTTGAACAAAATCTTCCTTATCTTTGGATAAGAAAATTTCATACTAGTTTGTATGCTTCATATCCCATGTTGTTCTACTACAAGTAATTACATGAAGATTTACTTACATCTTTGGACAGAGAGCTATTCCTCCATGTAATTTCTTGTAGCACAATCTTGATCATGAACTTTTGAATGTATCTAGATCTTGGAGTTTATTTAGTTTGCTTTGGCTTACTAAAAATACTATAAGAGATATGCATTCAGTGATCAATGCTTTCTCTTGTCACGACAAAGTGATAATCTTTATACTGTTATCGTGCCAAGCTTTCTGAAAACTGTTTTGAAACTTGACTGTTTTGTAGAACTTGATTTTCTTGACTCAAAATTGGTTAAATAAGAGATAATATAACTTAAAGCTCTGATACCACATGTAATTGATAAGCTATAAAATCAAATACACTAACCTTGACACTTAGTTGCCATTGTCCAGAATAGTCACAAGAACAAGAAAGATCTTCTCCAAGAAACCAACAGTGTATGCTTATTCTGATGGGGTGAATTTCTAATAGCTAAAGTTGGTTCTGGAGGGAGCTCTCTATTTATATGCAATCTTACATTGTGTGCCCGGAGAGTTCTAGACTCTATTAATTATTTTCTCGCATTAAAAAAAAAGAATTCTATGAAGCTATAATGCTACATTTTCAAAATATATGAAATCTCGTCGTGGACCATTGTAGCTTATAATTTTATTTTACTTTGACATGAATTATGAATGAAAGTACTATTGTTTCATTTTCAATGTTTTTTTCATCCTAATGTTTTTTTTGGAAGTTTTACACTATGACCCTTTGATGTAAGATTCTTGAATCCGCCACTGCTATGGGATAAACGGAATCAAAATGTTATTATTTTGCAAATATTTGCTTATTCTTACATATTCCAAGGTGAAAACTTAGAAATAAATAAATAAAACAATTCATTGAACCATTGTCTTCAAGTTTGTACAAGCTAAATGCGGAAAAAAAAACATATTTTAAACCATTTTTGCTTATGATAGAACCTCTTCACCTTAACTCAGTGTAACAAATCCAAGTCTTATTGATTCAATTAAGCAAACAGTTTTCAAGCATAGTTTGAAGTTGGAGATAAGTTTCCCCAATATAGTTACTTAGCAACTGAACAAACTGTAAAACCGACCCTGAACAACAAAACACATTGTGTTAACTAACTAACAATTGATGTGCATAATTACATACCATTTTGTACCATCCTAGTTTATCTTTTGGTTATAGTTTTTGGTTGAAACTTGTGCTTTTAACTCTCTTTCGGCTTTGTTTCAGTTCATTAAGTTTTCGGATTCATTAAGTGCATTATGAAGTAAGATAGCTCAAAATTATCTCTGTAAATCAGTCAACTTCATGGATTGCACTGTACGTGCTCAGGAAGAACCAACTAGTGAGCCAAATACAATTGGAAAGCTATGAAGCTCTAGTTTTTGGAGCATTTTACGGTTTGTAATTCCGAGCTTTGTAGAAGAAGGTAAGACAGTTTTGGTACCATATGTTTATTTCACAAATCTCCTTGAAAATTGCCATGTCACCATTACCATGTCGTCATGTTATAACACATAGAAGTCCAAGTCAGTAGCTCCACATGGGATTATATGTCAAGAGCAATTGGGAGAGTAATTATCATTTGGAGAAACAACAGAGAAAGTCCACCAAAGTAATTAGTGTAGTAGATGGCTAGAGGAGTTATTAGGCAGCTAGAGCATTTGGCATTTAATGAGGCAGTTGGGCAGCAGTTGAGAGAGGTGTGCCCAAAAGGAAAGAACGAAAATTGAGAGTAAAACTCTATAAATAGAGGGCAGTAGCTGGAGGAATAGAGACATTCCATCATTTACACTTACATTGACAAAAGAGAGAGAGAGAGTTGTGAGTCACAAAGGGAGAGAAGAGAGAAGGCATCAGCTGGAAGGCTTTGGCCTCCTAGCAACCATGGAGTTGGAGCTTCGCATCTTTAACATGTTGTTCCCATCTTCTTCTCCTCCCTTTGTCTATATTTCCTTTATGTTTTTCTTAGTTGTACTTTATTTTTCATTGTCCTGTAATTTCTTGTTGTTGTTATGAATATGAGAATTTTAAGTTTTCAAGTTTGATTAGTTTTCAAATTTCAATTATGGGTCTTGTTCTTATTTATTATGCTTATAAGTTGATATGCTTGTTTGAATGATTGATCACCCTTAAAACTTGTATGTTAGCTATCTTGGTTGAAATTATGAGTAGACACCATATGCCTGAATTTGAATTGAACTATGAATAGGAAAAGTATGTATAGACAGTCGACAACATGGCTTGGTTGTTTAAAACATTCTTCTATACTTAATGGATTTTTAGTGCTTAATTTAGGTTCGACAACAAGGATATGATTAGGGAATTAGGAATACAAGGTTATGACCAAACACCATGGCTTAATCATATTATAGAGAGAATCAATCTATGAATCTGAATTGGACTTGTTAATTTGATTGCTTGAGATTTAGGATTGGATTGTTTCTCTAGTGTCCTAAAACTGTTTTTAAACCCAAAATCATTTTAATGTTGTTTCTTGTTTGCTTGTTTAATTTGTGTTTTCAATTTGTGTACTCAAATCTCTCTTCCCAATCTCCTTTGAACCTTGCTTTCGATTTCTGTTTTGTTTTAGCTATAACTTCTTATTTTTTGAATTGGGTAATCTAAGTACGTAACTAATATGAACTTCTCAGTCCTCGTGGGTACAACCTCATACTTGTCTTACTATACTATCTAATTGGGCCGTATACTTGCGAGTTATCAAAATTTTGACGTCGCTGCCAAAGAGTGAACAAAAGTTTTTCCCTAGTTACCTTATTCCCTTTGTTTAATGATAGTTTGCTAATTAGTTGTCTTCTGTTTTCAGGGATAACCAAAGACCAATTGAGAATGAGAGTGTTTCCATAGGACAAGGCTAAGTTCTTGTAGAAGTTCTTCTCTACATCCAAAACCAACATGTCCAGGTTCTATCTTTCTAACTCTATCTGTCTCTCTTTTAGTTTTAGTTTTTAAGTCTTTCGTGTCATGCTTTCCTTCTTGTCTTTGCAATATTGCATTCCACTTCGTTTTTTTTTCACATTATGGACAATGTTCAATTCAAATCTAGGGGAAGTTTTTCATATTTTTGTGTTTTTTAAGAGTCATAAAGGTTTTTCACATTTGTGTGTGTGTGTGTTATTTTTTTTTAGTCATAAAAGAGGGATTTTTTTTTGTTGGTTTAAATTTTCTTGTGATTTATTTTCATTCAATCAGTGATATAGAGCTGCCATGGAGACTTTTCATATCATAATTTTTTCACTTCCCAAAGCTTTTACTCTTAGAATTCTGCTGGCTAAAGTGCCTTGCTCAAATGCTTGAAGGAGAAAGTGTATATCGAGCCTATTTAGTTTGTTGAGAGGGTTTAAAGTGTTTCTTACTTATTTTCTTCAATTTACTCTAAATGCTCTCATTATACCATTTTGATTGAATACTAAGGATGCTTCTCTTTTGCTGATACCATGTGTTTACTTTCACTCATGAATGAACTCACTAAAGTGATGCTAGGCTATGAGTGCTTAAACATTCTAACCCACCCATGTGTATTCTCCATCACCCTTTTGCAACCAAACACTTCAAGCCTTTTTCTTCCATCACCCGCCTCATTCCCCTACATTTTTATCATAATATGAGATATTTAACTTACTGTGGCCATACTCTATAGCTTAGGAAAATACCAAGGTGTTGCTAAGATAAAGTTTGAGGCAAGGAAGTTGTTGCCATGTACTTAAATGAAAAAAAAAAATCTGTGTGAATTTGTGCCATGAAGTTTAAGGAAGTAGATCATATCAGCAAATAAGAAGATGAGTGAATTTTGGTCTTATCCAAGTGTGAAAATTAAGATCTATGCTAGTTGGTGATTACCATGAAGTTTGCAACCATGCCATTCCAATCCATATTTTTGCTGAAGTTTATTTTTGCTTCTGCTTCTTTGTATTTTAGAAATGCATATTAAATAACTCATTGTTCTATTTAAGTGTATTTGAGAAATTCCTACAACTAGTTTTCCTCGCTTACGGTTTTTCCCATATGGTTTCCTCATAAGGTTTTAATGAGGCCACTGTTAACATGTCAGTTCTTTTGTATTGTTCTTGGGATATTAATGGAATTTATCTTCCTTATAAAAAAAGAATTGTTCAGTGATAAGGCTCTGATACCAATAAATAGGATCTCTATTATTATAAAGGTTTCTTACAAAGGACTCTAGTAGAAATTTCACTCTGCCTTCCTCAAGAAGGAGATGACTTGTTTATAATACAAAAGAGAATCTAACCATTATAACAACTTTACACATGTTAAACACATATTACACTACAGTATCCGACAAGACACTATTCATGCTACACAAGCTAACACAACTTGCTGAATCTATGTGCTAAAAACCATATGCTAATTCTATGTGCTAAACTTTCTCAAGAAGGCTTATCTAATTCCACCATGTATCACGACGAGGCGACATCCATTTGTTCCTTATTAAGCGCAAACAACAAAGGTTCCATGTGGATTTGTTCAATAGCCTCTTTTTATAAATTATATTAGCAGATGTTATCAAGATTAAACCTGTCGCCAAACACTTAAACTGCTTCGTCCAATTGATGAGTGGTGAAAATTATTCATAAATTTCATTCCTCCAAATGCTGGTCAAACTTTGGTACTCCTATCATGACGATGGCGATATCTATATGTACGTCCCTAAGTGTGGACAATAAAGGTTCCAATGTAGATCTAATGAAAAATCCTCGCATAACACTAGATCCACTGATACTATCAAGATTAAACTTTCTGCTAAACACTTTAACTAATGCATCCAATTGATAAGTGGTGAAAATTGTTCGTACCAACCGTTCCTCCAAATGCTGGTTAGACTTTGGTCCTCCTGCGACAACGATATATGGCGACATCCATTTGTACCTCTCTAAGTGCAAAAAATAAGGGTTCCAATGTTGAGCTATTCAAAAGCTCACTCATAAACAACAAAGATTGAAACATGGATTAACTCAAATGCGCTCTCATAACACTAGATTAGTTGATGTTATCAATATCAAACTTCCCTCCACAAGATTTAAATGTTTCGTCCAATTGATAATTGGTAAAAAATTATTCATATTAGTCATTCCTCCAAATGTACGATGATGACATCTAGTTGTCCCTTCCTAAGCGCAGACAATAAAGATTCCAATGTGGATCAATTCAAAAGCTTCCATCTTATTGTTTTTTGCGCAAACATTCCATCAAAATTTCCAATTTGGTGGGGCAGTCTTGATGGTTAATAGTAAGGCACTTGTTTATCATCATCGCCATTGGAAAGCTGCTTCTAGGGCATAGTCTCTTTTAATTACTGGCTCTATAAACTCCTTAAGCTTCGATTTCTAAAAACTCATTCCAAACAAGGCATTATATCAATAATTCTTTCTATGTACTAACTTAATTATAAAGAATAAGGTTATATAAATTTACCATCTTTGCAGGATTGCTTTTCTTGTCCTCCACATACTATAAAGTATCCCTAGCCCCACATGGTTTAGTTATATCTTCAAGTTTGCCTACATTGTGGCCTTTAATCAACTAGGGCAATACCACTCAAAATGCAAAGATATCTCACTCACGAGACATCAAAGCTACCTCCATAAGAGTTGAAATCGAACCTTCCATGTGGATTTATTCAGAGGCCCTCTCATAAAAAGAGATTTGTTAATCTATCAGGATAAAACTTGCCATCAAACACTTTAACTATTTCTTCCAATTGATGAGTGGTGAAGGTTATTTATACGAGCCATTCCTCCAAATGTTGGTTAAATTTCCATTTGTATGAGCCATTCCCCAAAAGGTTGAAATGTAGATTGACCCAAATGCCCACTTAACACTAGATTAGTTGATGTTATCAATATCAAACTTCCCTTCGCAAGATTTAACTGTTTCGTCCAATTGAATTGGTAAAAAATATTCATAGCAGTCATTCCTCCAAATGTACGATGATGGCATCTAGTTGTCCGTCCCTAAGCGCAGACAATAAAGGTTCCAATGTGGATCTATTCAAAAGCTTTCATCTTATCGTTTTTCTCCTAAAAGATTCCATCAAAATTTCCAAGTTGTTGGGGGCGCTCTTGAGGGTTAATAGCGAGGCACCTACTTATCATCATCGCCATCTGGAAAGCCTATTCTAGGGCATAGTCTTTTTAATTACTGGATATATGAACTCCTTAAGCTTTGATTTCTAAAACTCATTTCAAACCAGGCCTAATATAAATAATTCTTTCTATGTACTAGTTTAATTATAAAGAATGGGTTATACAAATTTACCAGCTTCGCAGGATTGCTTTTGTTATCCTCCAAAAACTGTAAAGTATCCATAGCCCCACCTTGTTTGGTTATATCTTCACGTCTGCCTACCTTGTGGCCTTTAATCAACTCGTGCAACACCACTCCTAATGCAAAGATATCTTCCTTAGGAGACATCAAAGCTACCTCCATAAGCGTTGCTATCGAACCTTCCATGTGGATTTATTCAGAGGCCCTTTCATAACACTGGATCCGTTGATCTATCAAGATTAAACTTGCCATCAAACACTTTAACTATTTTGTCCAATTGATGAGTGATGAAGATTATTCAAATGTGCCATTACTCCAAATGATGGTTAGACTTCCATTTCTACCTTCATAATCACAAACAACAAAGGTTCCAACTTGGATTTACTCAAAAGCCCTTTCAAATGTGGATTTTCCCCATGAGTAAGGGTCTTCGTAGGGATTCAACCCTAATGGGTCGTGTATGAAGTATAAAAAATGCATATGTGGTGGGGTTGGAATTTTTCAAGTATGGTGTTCCAAGAGGAGAAGGGATGGTTTTCTAACCCCGACCCGAAACCTCCTTGTTTAGAATATATGTAATTTATTTTATTATATAATTATGTCATTAAGATGTATGATGGTGATGGTACTTCTATAATGAAGATCATGTCTTGAACATGTAGTTATCACATGTTTTAATTTTTTAAACTAGTCTAGACTTTTAGTTATGATATGAATTTTTTTTTTAATGATGAATGAGATCTACAGTACCTCGATTGTTGTTCTTGCATGATTGGTTGTTCTTGGCAGCTTGGTTGTGGGATCAACATGCACATCATGGCCATAAAATGTGTGTGAGGGAGGGAGAGAGTGCGACTGAAACCAAGAAAAAAAACGCTAATTTGGGCACATTGCCATCCCTATATAACACTAGATTAGTTGGTGTTATTAATATCAAACTTTCCTCCACAACATTTAACTGTTTCGTCCAATTGACAATTGGTAAAATATTCATACCAATCGTTCCTCCAATTGTACGATGATGACATCCATTTGTCCCTCCCTAAGCAGAGTTAATAAAGGTTCCAATGTGGATCTATTCCAAAGCTTCCATTTTATTGTTTTTCTCCCAAAATATTCCATCAAAATTTCCAAGTTGGTGGGGTGCTCTTGAGGGTTAACAGTGAGGCACTTGCTTATCATCATCACCATCTGGAAACCAGCTTCTAGGGCATAGTCTTTTTAATTCTTAGATCTATAAACTCCTTAAGCTTCTATTTTTGAAAACTCATTTCAAACAAGGCTTAATATCAATAATTCTTTTTATATATATACTAGTTTAATTATAAAGAATAGGGTTATACAAATTTACCAGCTTCGAAGGATTGGTTTTGTTGTCCTCCAAATACTGTAAAGTAAACCTAGCCCCACCTTGTTTAGTTATATATTCATGTCTGCTTACCTTGTGGCTTTTAGCCAACTTGTGCAGTACCATCCTAAACGCCAAGATATCACCCTCACGAGACATCAAAACTACCTCTACAAGCGCACACATCAAAGCTTCCATGTGGATTTATTTAGAAGTCCTCTCATAACACTAGATCCGCTAATCTATCAATATCAAACTTGCCATCAAAGACTTTAACTGTTCTGTCCAATCGATGAGTGGTGAAGCTTATTCATATGAGCCATTCCTCCAAATGCTGGTTAGACTTCCATTTGTACCTTCGTAATAAAAAATAAAACCAAGATTCAAACATTACTCAAAAGCTCTCTCATAACACCAGATTAGTTGGTGTTTTTAATATCAAACTTCCCTCCATAAGATTTACTTGTTTCGTCCAATTGATACTTGGTAAAAACAATCATGAATGCTCTCGTTTTGGGAAAAATGGTGAAGATATTTGTCTTGCGGATAGTGCGACTAGGCACACAATTCTTCGAGATAAAAAATATTTTTACAATTTACATTTCTCAAAAGCAAAGGTAACTACCATACTGGATTTTGCAAATCTAATTGACAGCTCTAGAAGAGCTCAAACTTTGTTACCCAATGGGACTCAATTCTCTATAGATAATGGTTTGCACTCTTCGAAATTGAGAAGGGATTTACTCAGTTTTGAAGACATTCAAAACAATGGATACTATATTGAAACTACAAATGATCACAATGTGGAGTATCTTTGCTTTACCTCCAATATCGATAACAAGAGGTATATATGGGAACCACTTCATGCTTTCTCTTATGGGTTGTATTATAGGACCATCAAAGTAGTTGAAGTCCATGTTGTCATCAACCAGAAGTTCATTGACCCAACGATTTTCATGTTTGGCATGATTGTCTTGGCCATCTTAGATCCACAATGATGCGTAGGATTATTTCAAATTCAAATGGACATCCTTTAAGGCCTTACCATAGTGCTTTTTCCATTGAACAGTCTTGCAAAGCTTGCTCCTAAGGGAAATTGATCATCATAACATCTCAGTCAAAACATGGCTTTGAATGACCATCTTTCTTAACAATGAATTCAAGGGGATATTTGTTGGCCAATTCAACGATCTTATGGACCATTATGTTATTTTATGGTTTTAATAGATGCATTTACAGGATGGTCAAACTTTTTCCTATTGTCAACTCGTAATGTTACTCTTGCTAGGCTTCTTGCTTAGATAATTAAATTATGAGCACAATTCCTTGATTATCCAATCAAGTCAATTCGACTCGATAATGCTAGTGAGTTTACCTGCCAACTTTTGATACTTAATGCATGTCACTTGGTATTGATGTTGAGCACCCAGTTCCCCACGCCTATACTCAAAATGGATTAGCATAAGCTTTTATTAAGGGTCTCTAGCTTATTGCTCGCACTGTTGCTGTAAAAGTAATAAAATAAAACCATGATGTGTGATTTTGTAAGGTGTGCCAGCATGGTGACCACATTGGTTGTGCATCCGAGTGAATATATTATAGTATGGCTAAATGCGCCGGATCATGATTCTTAATTAGAGCGATTATGGCCAATGAAAGAACACCTCTCTGTCATAGGTTCTTTTACCTTGCCAACAAGGCTTTTTATATTGTTAGCTTAGTGTCAGCGAGTTGGGCAACTAGATGATGCTCCCACAAATAAACTCGAAAAGTTATGAAAATTTGTGAAGATATGGATTAAATAGTGCTCAAGATGAACTCTGAATCGAAACAAAGCAAATCTTGTTGATATACTGGATGAACGTTTACAATGGATTGTTAGAAATATACCCTAAAGCAATCATTAGATGTAAAATTTATGGATATTTCACCTTATTATTTAAGTCCGTGGAATGTGAGATGAGGAAAGTGATTGAAGATGTTAAGTCCATGAGACCTTTCCCTATAAGCTCACATCCTAAAGAGTTCTTAGTCATTGGCTTGTCAACTAGGCATTGACAATCCGTAAAGACCGACATACACTGTATCTACTCAATTAGGAGGAATTCACTTAATGCGATTAACCAAGAGATCTTGTATGGAAGTTTTACTTGCATATCAGACAAGATCTTTATAGTTGCAATAATGTAAGTTAGTCCTTGACTCGAGGCACCACAGTTGTCTTGTGGAAGCGTTGTGGATTCTAGATCATACTAAATAGTTGAGTTCTATCGAGGGCATGATTCTATGGTATAGTTGGGGTTCATGATCGCTCTATGGAGGTAGGTGACTAGATAAAACCTCCATCACACCCCATTTGCATCGTCAACGCCACCTTCGTCGGCTTTACAATGCCTTCGACGACGAATTGCACAACCAGGAGCTGACCCATTTGCTTGGTATGCGCAATGAGGTCGTACGACTCTTGAATTGCCTTCAAAAATGATAAAACTTCATCGTTGTCGTATATGTTCTTGGCCAACCTTATTTGACCCATTACATATCTCACGTTTTTAACAGCCCAAACCTAGATAGATCCCTTGGATTTTTTTGACCTACGTGATGTGCTAGTTTATGACGGCGACTGAAACGACGCGTTTGATGTCCTAGGTCGGACATGCGCAAAATGCCTTGGGCATGAGGTGGGTCAGAGATGATGACATAGCAAGGGCTAGCGTGCTTGGCTTGGTCAACGTTGACCACAAGAATGGCACTGTTGTAGAACATCTGTGCTAGGTACCTTGAGGTTCCTGAAAGGGAATGGTGTGTTGTGAGGAGAGAGAGAGAAGGAGAGAGATTTTTTTTAAATGTTATTTTATTATATTTTACTCTATTTTTTATTTTAAATACTTTTAAATATTTAAAAATAGAGAATTAACTATGGTTATAGTTATAGGCAGATGTTCAATTTTTAGAAGGTGGTTTCATGGCTAATGGATATAAAACCTATTTAATTCAAATTTCAACTATGCTAATTCATACATATGGAAACTAAATTTTGGAGAATCCCAAAGCATTTGCACAATATATCCTTAGCTTTATTAGATTTGTAGCATATATCTGTATTTTAGGTATAAATTTATATATTGAGTTTTTCGAAATTCGTTGAAGGAATTTTTTGTCATATGTTAATGTTTTAATATATACCTAGTATAAAGGTATTGTTGAAGAATATAAGTCCTACATCGAAAACTTGACTAAATAAAATACAAGGATATAATGAATGGTTTCACTACTAATATCATTGATGCCTTTTGTGATAAAACCCCACACCTACTGGGCTTTGTTGGTGGTTAAGTTGGAGACAATATCGGTTCTATTAGTAGTGGGCCACTGACCTGTCTCTCTGAAATTTAATAGGTATAACATTTTGTTCTATATATGTTTTACTTGGCATTGAGGTGCATCAAATATGTACCTAGCATTGAGGTGCATCAAATATAAGTTCACTACAAATGCTTTGGGACTAAAGGCTTTAGTCACCCCAGCATTAGTCACCAAATGTCACCAAATAATGGTGACTATTGCCTTTTTTTGTTGTTGTTGTTGTTAGCATGGTATTGTACCTGGAGCATAGGAATCTGATTATCAAATTTAATAAAGGGTGCAATAATAACCCACCACAAATTTCTATTTAAACCCGCACTTCTCTTTGCTCACCCCAATACTTAAATCATTAAGCTGTAAGTTTTATTATTGTGTAAAAAGACAAAAAAGGTTATCCAACTTAATACTTAACCCTAATACATCTATACACACACCCCACATACCCCACCACTCTTATATTAGGTTTTAGAAAAATACAAACTACTCTACATCGTATTGCCAGATTACTGTTCTCCCTAAGATCAACACGATTTCCTCCTTCCACATGGGCAGCTCCATGGGCGGAACCAAGACAAGGGCTACCCTTGGCTATAGCCCAGGAAGGTTTGGGGAAAAAAAAATTAAATACACATATAGCCTAATAGTATAACAATAAATAAATAAATAAATATACAATTTCAACACCAATAGGCATAGTCAGGGGTCTTCTGCATTTGTATTTGGTGTACAAGTTTGTCCCAATATCAATTTTAAAAAATTTCTATTAATTTGTCTCCAAAAGAGAAGCATTTTTCTAAATGAAATTCACCCTTTTGTGAATAATATGGCTCTAATTTCAATTTTTTTCTTGTGTTTACAATTAGCATGATTTATATGATTTAATGTATACTTTTATTTCTAGAAAAACTATAGAAAATGTAAGTACAGAAAAAACATTATCATTAGATTTTCAACTAATAACTTTAGCTAACCCACCCATTGAAAAGTTTCTAATTCCGCCCTTGGGCAGCTCCTCTACCTCCCAACTTCATACTTGTTGCCACCACTTGATACCACATTTTTGAGTTGCCCAAAATTACTGGTACAATGCCTGATATGAGGTCTATATCATACAAAGAGTCCATGGAACAGGAGTTTGCTGTCCACCTAACAAACGAAAGGAAGTCCATTCTGATTGTATACCATGCAATTCTTATCAACAAAAATGTATATACAAATAGGATATAAAGTAGGGAAGTTGGCATAGTTTTGCTAACACGTAGCAGTAAAGCTATCCCACAGCCAAAAAACGTTCTCATGAAACCCAATTAAGAAGTACAAACTTGCCTTTCTTCTGAAATTGCATTATGTGAGTGATGAAGGATGTCTTTATTATTGTGTATTGGGTTGATACACATTCTTGAAGGCATTACAAAAGTTCTCATGCGCAGAACGTACTTCCTCCTCTAACGGTAGCTTGTGGGGTTTAAATAGAAAATTTCTTTATTTCTTATTTTTTCAGCTTGGGGTGTATTTAAGGGTAGTTTGGGAAGATAGTGGGGTTTTTTTAGAAATTGTGAAAATTTAAATTAAAAGTTGGGGTGAACTAAGAAGTGTGGGGTTTAAATAGAAAATCTCAAAAGAAATGCCACATTAAGTTGAAATTTGCACAAGTCAAGCCACAAAAATAGATGAAGGGTCCGATAATTAAATGTAATTATTCATTTAATTACATGATCAAATATAATCATTAATGGACTATAAATTCTCATGTTACCCATTTTAAACAATAAAGATATAATAAACATCACATATATCTTACTAAACAAAAAACATTAAAACAAACAGATGGCCGCTTAGGAAAACCCTAGCCTCCACACCCTTCCTTCAGCGCTGCACAGAGGAGAGGTAATCTTTGCCCCTCCTCCCCCCCTCCCCCTCTCCCTTTGTTTTCCCTCCTATCCTCCTCCTCTCTCTCTTCACTCTGAACCCCACAACTATGAGATGCTTTAGTTTTCCCTTCCATGGCTTCCCATCCCCTCATTCCCTCCCTCCCCCCTATTGGCATCCCCTCCCTGAGTTTTTTTCCCCTAATATTCCTCTTTTGCTTGGATTTTGTGCTGTTCTTTTGTTTTTGCACGCGTTTTGGTTCGGTTTCAGTTTTTTTATTTTTATTTTTATTTTTATTTATTTTTTGGTTGCAAATTTTGGAGTTCCTATATAGATGTATTCTAGATCTATACTTTTCCCGAGGACTACCAATTGGTTTTGGTCGGCTTGGGTGATTTTGCTGGAACTCTTGTGTATATTGGAGGTTGTTAAAGTAGACACTATGAAACACCATTGTTGCCATGATTTAGTTGCTGTTTTTGGCCCACATCAATACAAATCAGCCAAATACAAAAGTCTGCATCAATGTATTAAAAATGCAATGTAATCTATGTGGCAAATTAATCAAAGGACTTGAATTAACAAACAATAATTCAAGGACTAGACCCAAACTATTGGTTGAGTTTTTGTACGTATACCAAATTAATTATAAAAAAATGAAACTCAGAAAAACATAGTATGTTGACAAACCTGTTTTGCGAAGGATGACCAGCCATCCTAAGAGATTTTCTCCAAAAGGCACACTTTCATTTTTCTTAAGCAAATTAGGCAAAGGACTTGAATCAACAAACAATAATTCAAGGACTAGACCCAAACTATTGGTTGAGTTTTTGGACGTATACCAAATAAATTTTAAAAAATGAAACTCAGAAAAACATAGTACGTTGACAAAACTGTTTTGCAAAGGATGACCAGCCATTAAGAGATTTTCTCCAAAAGGCACACTTTCATTTTTCGTAAGCAAATTAGGCAGGTGAATTTCAAGCCAACTTAAAACCTACTTAAATTTATGATGGATGATGCAAGAAATTACATGAAACATATTGAACCAAGAAGTATAGCCACTACTACAAAAAGTGAAAAAGACGACCAGAAAAAAAAACGACGGTTTAAGGGAAAACCGTCGTTGTGTTTGAAAAGATGACGGTTTTATAAAACCGCCGTGTAAGAATAACTTAAACACCTGAAAAAGGGAGATTCCAATGGTTGTTTTTAAAAAAGGACACACCTAATTACAAAAGCGACGTCTTATTGAAAAAGATTTTCCTCAGAGTAAACTCTGAGCCCACAAATAACGGCAGAAGGTGTGAATAGACCGACGTAGAAAGTAAAGACGACGGTGTAAAAAAACAGCCGCCGTTTTAACTCCGTAATTAACATGACCAAGTTTTCGTATACTGTGCCGTATAATTTCAAACAAATCCACGGCGGTATATTACAAAATTCCGCCATATTAAATAAATGTACAACAACGGCAAAGATAAATTTATTGACTTATTTATTGTATAGTACTTCGACGGTATCTTTAACTCTAACCACGTTGGTTTGTTCAATTAACGACGTATAATAAAATTTACCGTCGTATTTAGTCACGTTATACGTCTACCCTTATATCTAAACCGTCGTCTTAATAATATTATTTTTTACTATTTATTTCTTGGATTTTGGTATCCTACGACAGTAGACCAACTTAATGACAAGAATTGTGAATAACCACGACGGTATATATAGAAAACCGCCGACAGAATCATATTTTTTTGAGATCCCAAGATATACGTCGTGAAGTTAAAATTACCGTCATATTTATTCACTTTATACGTCTTACCTTATATTTAAACCGTCGTCTTAATAGGAATTTTTTTTAACTATTTATTTCTTGGATTTTGTTATCCTACGTTGGTAGATCAACTTAATGACAAGAATTGAGAATAACCCACGACGATTTATATAGAAAACCGCCGACATAATCAGATTTTTCTTAGATCCCGAAGGTTACGAAATCTTACTAGATGGAACTTTGTTCCTCATCATAATCGGACCACAGAAAGACAATATTTTAGAGATTGATGATGTATGTGTATTTGTGTCTTTGAGATACACAAAGGCACATACACATCAACATCCAAAAATTTGCCTCTAAAATTTGACGACGGCACCTTCAGATTTGCATTCAGAGAGACAATTTTTTGGAAGTTAATAATGCGTGTGCACACACATCAACATCCAAACAATTGCCTTCTAAGAGGTGAGACAGAGCCAAGGGCAAGAAGAAGTTGGAACCCTAATTGAAAACTAAAACTGAAAGAACTTGTGAAAAAAAACTCTATTTATATAAAAAAAAATCAAATCCACGTTGGTTATATTACACCTAACACTGTTTAAAAAAACGAATCTACGTCTGTCCATACCAACCCTTCAGACGTATAAAATAATTACCACGTCGGTTTTGTTATTTTCACGACGTAGTAAAGACATATTAAGGCAGTTTTTAAGAAACACCACGACGCAAAACAAATAAAATGCGTCGTCTTAATGTCAGAGCGAAAAACCAACGACATAATCTATTAAGTAACTGACATAGAAAGTAAAGACGTCGGTAATGATAAACTTACCGACTTATTACTTAAAATATACTACGACGACATCTGTAACAATGCCGACGCATAAGGTAAACTAACCACGTCGGAAAAGTGTGTGTCGTGTAATATAATTTACCAGTGCGAATATTATATATTTACCGCCGTTTAAAACAGTTTACTAGGGCGGTTGTAATTAATAGCGTCATGTTATGAAACGTTGTTTGTGCCTAATAAATCACGGTCATAAACTGACTGAAGGGACTTCCTCTCGGCCCTAACACCTACTCATGAACTGAAACGTGCCGTTTCGTTAGGCATTTCGCTTTCCTGAAAACAAAAGAAAAGCTGCAAAGGCAGAATCCTCTCGGCCTCGCGACCGTGGTATTATAGGCCGAAGCCGAAGGCCGTAAAAGATACGGCCAAAGATACTGTGGTTAAATCGCCACGTGGCCTTAGGGTCCCACGCCCCATTAATGAAGTAATGCCTCTGACTATCGCAGCAAACCCACTAGTCGCAAGAAACATTTAATGCACGAAGGAAGAAGGGAAGTGACTGAAGTCAGGATTTGGTGATGGAAATCATAGTGGTTAGGCGCAAACATTCTCACAAGTATTCTTACAACTTGAGGTCAGATCACCAACCACCGGACCAGGGCATTAAATGCGTTCCCACGGCCAAGGGGGCAGAACCCACGATCAGGGCGGTGGCCGAGATTTACCGGGATTTATGGGGGTCACACCACCATGCTTCACGATCCCAAATGCCGATTTGACTACCCACTTGCCCCGATCAGGCTCCACCACGCAGATCTTTTCAACCTCGATTGTCCTCCCAGGACTCCCCCTATAAATACTAAGCTCAAGACTACATTCAAAGGGTTCAAACACCAAACCAAAAGCATCCCACGGAGCAAATTATATTTTCCTGTAATGCACTTTCAATACCTTTATTTGCTTTCCTAGGAGTAGTGGTAGATTGTAAGGAAAATCCATTCATCAATATATCATACGACCCTTGATTTTCAAGGCGCCGGAGCACCATCTCTGTTATCATCTCATTCACCCCATATATCATACGACCGTCGCTCTCTGAGCAACGCGCCGGAGCACAGCCTAAAACCCACTACCAACACCACCACTAAACGGCCTTGTAGCTCAGGCCGTGAACCTGACGGCCGAGATCAGTTCCGCTCTCGGCCACAATCGTTTGATTAGGAGCCGAACTCAAAACAGACTCATCATTTGACCATCTTCTACCCAAACCTCATCACCATCTCGACGCAGGGTGGACCGTGCTGGCACGCCCGCGCACAACCGCACCGTATCCAAAAGAAGGACGTCACGTGTTAATGCACGTCCCCTCGGCCCGGAGCACCAAGCCATGAGATTTTGGTAGCCAACAAACATTTCGTCAATTTTTTAAACATTTCGCCTTTCCTGACCTACACTTATACTGTTTCCAAACCTGAGAAAAAATTTCACGCTATCCTCATTTTTACTTCCCAAAGTGCCGTGTCTGAATCTCATCAGCTTCCTCTCCTCTTCGTCTTTGTCCCTGAAAAATAATTCTTTTTCCTGTTTTGCAACTCCAAGCGAAAACTTTCATTGCAAGCAAAAGGTAAGCATTTCTCATCTTTGTTCCTGTTTTGCATATGCATATAATCTGTTTTGCATTTCTCATCTTTGTTCCTATTCATGTGAAAATCATTTTACTTTTTGGATAAAATCTACTGACAAAGAACAAAGTGTCATTGACCACGATGATAAAATCTACTCTATTTTTGTGTGTTTGAAGTAGTAAACCAAACGGTCTTGGAACAGTTTATGAATTTCATATTAATAAGATGACGGTATTTTATAACTAACGTCTTTGTAATTGAAAACCACGACGTTTGTTGAAAAATATATTTACTTTTTTCCCTCTTGAAAATCAATTTAAGTTTTTAAGTTTTTCCAAATATAAAGACAAGAAGCAAAAGGTCTGGAAACACTGCTATAGATGACGGTATGTTATATTTTATGTCGTTTGTAATATAAAACCACGACATTTTCTTTCCCCGTCATGAATATTACAAATTTATGTCGTTTACTTTCAAACCACGTCAGTAGTTAGCTACCATCGTTATGTAAGTATTATTGCATCGGTTGTTTTTATATTCCATCATATGAAATTTTATACTACGTCGTTTTTTTAAATAAGCGTCGTTTTTTGGTGACTTTTATTTTATTTTTTTCTCTGCTTGCAGGTCTGATTTCTTTGTAACCATGGTTTCTCAAGCGCCAAGTAAGGATTCTAGCTTGAACAAAAATGAATGTAAGGAGCTTAAAGTTTCAAAACCTCAAACCAAGCCCTCGAAGAAAATGAAATTTGTTTCATCTGCTGAGACTGAACCAGGTAGCACGACAACATTTTCTAAGGAGCCCAAGTCTAGTCGTGGTATAAACACAATACCCCGTGTTGTGAAGAAAAAATTGCAGAAAATCAAGCCAGTTATTGAGTACAACAAAAGGGGGAAACGATATGGCCCTGCACATACTGAGATGCAGTCCTACATTGGTGTGCTAGCACGGTCCAGAGTCCCAATTGTGGACAATAAATGGACAGAAATCCCCAAGGATATAAAAGAGCATATTTGGGAAGCCGTTGACATGGCTTATGTGGTAGGGCAAGGGGGTAAAAAAAATGGTGTTATCATCTGCTGGCTAGAAATGGAAGGATTTCAAGTCTACATTAATGAGGCATCATATCCTTCCATTCATTAATGAGAAGGAGAAGTTAAGACAACCCCCTGAATTATATAAATTCATAGAGAAAGCAAACTGGGATGCCTTTGTAGTTTCAAAGTTATCCAAACAATTTGAGTCTATCCATGCATAACAAGCACAGAGGAGAGAGAAATGCAAGTACAATCATCCATTGTCTCGAAAAGGATATGTTGGTTTGGAAGATGATTTTGAAGAAAGCATGGCAGGGGTAGAAATTGATCGATCTACCTTGTGGAAGAAAGCTAGAGAAGACAAACACGGTAACATCCCCGATCCAAAGGTTGCGGAGAAAGAAAAATTAATTGTAAGCCTAAATTCACTTCACTCTGTTTTAAATTTGTATTAAATTGCATTGGAACTAACTTTCTGTTTTTATTGACTTTAATGTGTCTTTGTGTTAATTAGGATGAATTGCAAAAACAAGTCAGTGAAGGCACTCTTACTGTCTCTGTAAGTAATGATGTGTTGACTATGACTTTGGGTCCCGAGCATCCAAAGAGAGATAGAGGTATTGGGGCTGGGATTTCCACTAGACAATACTTCAATTTACCTAGACAACAGAGGGTAAAGTTTGCCGATCAATTAAAGGAAAGTGTAAGAGATGTCCTTAATGAAGAGACCTTGAAGATGGAGGCTAGAACTAAGCAATTGGTAGAAGCTGAGAGGGAGAATTTGCTAAATCAGCTGCGCCAACTAATTCCAAATTTTGATCCAAGCATGCTGAAACTGACAACTTTCCAAGGTCCTGAGCAAAGTCCCAAAAATCAAATGTCGGATAAAGCAAGCTGCTCTGGGCCTCTGGACGTCAGAGCCCACAATTTTGAGGATGATAATGCCAAAGATGGAGAAAAGCAAGAAGAAATGGTAACTGCTATGAACTCTGCATACAGTCAATTAGACGTCGTTATTTTAATTATAGACGTTAGAAAAAACCCACAACGACGTCTTTTATTTACTGTCGTCTCAATTTAAATTGGACGGCGTTTTCTTATATTAGCCGTCGTGTGTATTCCTTACCATGACGGTACGTTTGTGCAATATTTCATTTTGTACAAGCTGTCTTATCTATATTTCTTTATTTCTTAAAACAGAAATCCAAGGATGCAGAACAGCAAGTTGACATGGTAAATTCTCTGAAATTTGAAATACTCTCTTTCTCTCTCTCTTTATCTGCAATTGATGTTATATGCATTTCTGCTAACGCATGCTTTTAAGTTTGTAATTGCATTTGTTAATTTTGGAGGGCTCTGTTTTATACTGACGTAATAAAGTCATAAGACGATGGTTTTTCATAACCTTCGTTTTAACTTCATATTACGTCTGTTTTTTAAATAAACCGTCGTTGGCATTCTAGTAACACGACAGTATTGTGGATTCAAATAGTGTCTTTTTTTTTCTTTTCAATCTTTCTTTACTCACTCTGTTCCACTCTCTCTCTCTCTCTCTCTCTCTCTCTCTCTCTCTCTCTCTCTCTCTCTCTCTCTCTATTGTTATTTGTATTTATGCTAAAGCATGCTTTTAAATTGATATTGGCAATTGTTAATTTTCTAGGGCTCTGTTTTCTACCAACGTAATTGATGCATACGACGACGGTTTTCACTTGCCGTAGTGGTTATTTAATTTTCACATCGTGTTTTTATCCTCCCTGTCGTTTAAGTATGTGGAGTTTACTCTGGTTTTTTAACTTCTCTATTATATATCTTTCCTTATTTCTTCAAGCAGAAAGACAAGTGCTTGGACATTTCTGAGAAGGAACAACAAGCACCAGATTACTCAAACCTAGTCTTGCCATCTTCTTTACAAGCCCTTTTTCGTTATATGGAGACGACATTAAAGGTTCATGAGAAAGCTATGATATTTACAATTGAGAAGTGTTTGGTTTTGAGCATCAAACCTTCACCTTGATTGAAGATATTACACAGTTTGCAGCCATGGATGAAATTAGGGCTATTGTGGTTGCTATATACATGAGGTTTGTCCTTATCAACTCATTGTCATTTCACACTCTCCTTTCTTTAAAAAAATTAGAAAACTCATGACATCATTTTATATATGTAGGTGCCTATTTGATGTATTGAAAGCAGCAAATATGGTGAACATGGTTGGCTTTGTTGACCATGCTCAAGTTAGTGCTAACTCTGGATCATTAACTCAAAGATCACGTTTGTTAGCCAATCGACTTCAAAAGACAGATGGGGAACATATTTTCTTTATGCCTTACAATCCAGGGTACGTTAGTCAACATGATTTTCTTTGTATGATGCAGTGTATATAAAACTGTTTAACCTCTATGTTTATTTTGTGTAGCTGTTATTGGGTCTTGCTCATTGTGAGACCAAAGAGGGAGACTGTGTATTTTCGGGATCCACTGCCCAGAAATCGAGTGGTTGATGATGAGTGCAAAAACATAGTGAACACATAAGTTGATTTACTCAAGTGCAATGTGTGTTTGTAGCCTAATTTTTTTTTGAAATAACACTTTGTTGTCATGAAACAATGCTATCAAGATGTATAATTCACACATAGGTAGACAAGGCCATAAAGCACCTATTTGGAAAACTCTACAAGGCACACCAAAGCAACCCAGCAGTGTAGAGTGTGGCTATTATGTCATGCGCTTTATGAGAGACATCATCACAGATCCTTCTTTGGAGTTTGAGAAAAAGGTAAATGGAAAACTTTAGGATTTTAATTTTTGTGGACGACGGAAAATAGAATTACCATCATTTAAATTGATATACCACAATGGTAATTCTATTTACTCTGCCACAGATCCTTCAAAACCAGTCATGAATGCTAAATAATGATGTTTTATTGATTGCAGTTTGAAAAGGGCAAAGATCAATCACCATACCCCCAAGAAGCCATTGAAGAAGTGAGGAAAGAATGGGTAGATTTTGTTTGCCTTCAAATGAAGTAGAGGATTTTTACAAACAATTATGAAAAATGTACATTTTTTTGTTTAGAATAGACAATTTTTTGTACAGGGTTTAAGGTATAATGTATATGTTTTTTTTGGCTGTCAATAAAAATTGGTTTTCAGTTTTAAAAAACTAAAGTAACTCTGTAAACCGTCGTCTGAAGACCCTTCCAACGACATAATAGTTTCAACAACAGACATCTTACGAAACTTGAAAATAAACAAACGACGGTAAATTCAATAAATGACATGTAAACTCCTATAACACAACGGTAAATTCAATAACGACAATAAACGACGTTGCTAACACAAAAAGAGCCATGAAGCAAATACCACGTCGATAACTTGATAGGAAACGACGTCTTATGCAATTTCAACGACATCCCTTTTAATAACCATCGTCTGGTCAAATACTTACAACGACATTATTTTATTTACGCGCCGTATATAGGCCTGACGTCTTATATTTTATTTAGTGGCAGTTTTGACTTATTTTCTGACGTTTGAACTTCGATACAACGTCCGTTTATTTATAAGCTGTGTGACGTCTATGCTCTTTACCCTGTCAGTTAATACCATAGGCGACGTACGATAATCGAAACAACGTCCTAATCCTGTGATGTCGTACATTATTTACAACGTCGGTATCTGTATAAATACCGAAGTTTAACATGCATACAACGTCGGTATATGGATTTAAAACCGACGTGGTTTGTTGTGTTAATAACAATTTTTTATTGACCTTAATTCATTATATTCATAATAAATTTGTAAAATTTCCAAAAAATACACCACAACTCCTAGATATTTGGGACCTTGATTACCAAAAGTTTACAATCACAGTGTTTAGGTGTGATTGGATAGATAGCACTTCTGGCCTTGTAGTCGACGAACTTGGATTTACCCTTGTAGATCTGAGTAAAATTGGACATAGGAATGACCAATTTGTTATGGCTTCTCAAGTCAAACAAGTATTTTTTGTTGATGACTCAATCCATCATGGTTGGTCAGTAGTGTTATCAATGCCTAATAGAGAATATAATGATATTATTGGGGATGATGTCTTAGGTGATGTGAGAATTGAATGTGAGCCATTTACTAGAGGAATGCCAAATGTTGACACATTTGATGAACTAGTCGGTGAGTCTGGGAGTCAAAATATTCGAGATGGGTGTAAAGATATATGGATTGAATGATGCTTGTAATTTATGACATTACTTACGCTCTAAATGGCTGTGTATGACATTAATTTTGTAAGAAATTTTATTACATTTTTTTCACTTTCATTATACAGGGTTTGGGCTCAAAGCTTTCAGTACAAAAAATCTAGTTCAAGTACCAAAATACGACGGTCCTGTTAACATTATTGCAAAAACAGACATCATAATAGTATCAGACGTCATTTTTTATCATACGTCTTGCAATGGAAGACCTTTAAACCTATAAAAAAGCAAAGATAAAAATTCTAAAGATGTCGGTTTAAAAAAATGGACATTAAAAAGGTCGTACGTCTCCAATGAGACGGCCTCGATGCACTTACTGCCGTCTAAAATTTAACTCAAAAGACTGCACATAATAATAAAACAACGACGATAATGAAAAGCTGTTGTTACAGGATATCACGACGGGAAGGCAAAAAAAGACGACATTTAAAAGAAGATAACACGACCTCGTAAAAATATACCATCATCTTACCTCACAAACACGACGATACACTATTATTACGAAACGTCTTCACAATATACCACGTCAATTTATGTCTTTAGGACTTGGTGAGAAAATGAATTACGTTGTCTTTAGAAATAAAAATGACGTAGAAAATGGTAACCACATCGCATTTTATATGCTTACCGACGTTGTAAGTTCTTTCACCGTCAGCATTTAAAATAAAGGAGACGTAAAAACCTCGTTCTTCCCATATTTACTGCCGTCATTAATAGTTTTCACGTCTCCCTGGTGACAATGTGTCATTCAATATTACACACAAACGTCGTCTTTTAAAACACAAATGACGTAGTAGATCGTAACCACGTCGGTGTTGATAGGTTATACGGCGTTGTATTAAGACAAACAACTCGGTGTTTATAATAACTGACGTTGTAAATCCTATTTCACCGTCAGAGTTTAAAGTAAAAGAGATGTATGAACCTGTTTATTCCCATATTTACTGACATCATTAACAGTTTTCACGTCTACTTTTTGACCATGTGTCGTGAAATGTACAAAAACAACGTTTTCTGTGGAAAAAGAGGTGTCGTGGTATGTTCTCCTAACGTCGTCTCTGATTACTAATAGACATGTGTACGTCTTTTAATACGTCAACTTCTTTGTTAAGACTGACAGTGTACAATATTTTCAACGTCATATCTAGAAACAAAAGTGACGTAATATTTCATCATGTGTCGTGGAATGTCATGATCAACGTCGTGCGGTTAATTGTTTATGACGGGTGGTTTTTTTTTGAGGCGGTATTTTACTAAACAACGTCATGTTTGTTTCTTTAGACAACGGTTGTTTCCAAAATTGAGTCATTTAATGGTTCGCAATTAGTTATTTTTGTGGTCATTTTCTTTACTTTTACGTCGGCTTTTATTTGTTCTGACGTTGTTTCTCTATGAACAACGTCTCCGTTTTACCGTCGTGGTTTTATTTTTAAAAAGATGTCGGTCGATTTCATGACAGTTTGAAAACTTGCTAGATGACGGTGAATTCCCGTCGTCTATGGCCCTTTTTGTAATAGTGAACTACTTCCTAGTTTAATCTTAGAAAATCCAAACTTCAATGGGTTGCTTTTGACATAAGGGATTGCATAGTTTGTTGATATATGACTCCCAATTTTAGTAGTGGGTTTCTTGGTTAACGTCTTTGTGTGTTATGCTTCATGTTATAATCTGTTGCATACACATGCCTCACTTTAGTTATTGCTAGCACTAGGGATGCATAGCTTCCTAGATCACTCTGAGTGCCTAGGATTTGACTGAGATGAGATGCGTGTTATGATGAATCTGAACATGTGTTTGCTGATTGATTCTTTATTGGCTGTAAATTTGATTGTTAGTCTGTTTTTAGCTTTATGTGGCATCGTTCAATGTCTGTAGGATATTAATAATACAGTGCTTTGTCTTGTTGAAAAGGTGTCACCTACTACCAAGTTTCAATTGATAAATTTGTTGGAGGTGTGTGTTGTGGCGGAAATACAAAATTCGAAATTTAATTAAGATTTGAGTAAGGAGCAAAAGATGCATAAGATGTATATTTATTTTTTTCAACTTGTTTCCAATTTTCCTTCAAAGGAAGCAAATCCACAAGCAAAAAGATGTGAAGTAGACAAAATAAAATAGCAACAAACTTGGATGATATAATTATTCAAGTCTCAATGTAAATATATAAATTCAGATTGATGGAGAGAGTAAATTTCTAAATTTAAGAGTTGGAACAAGGAGGCATATAAGCAGGTGGTCCAAGAATCGTGCTTTCACTGGTATTTCCATTCCTCACAATGAGCACAGTGTCCATTCCCCAGCTGGCATGCCTTTCCAAGTGACAGTGCATAAACCATACTCCTGAAATCATTATCAAATAATTCATTTCATTAGGCTTTATGGTTGCTCCTTAATTAATTTAATGTGCATTTGATATTAAGAGACTTACCAGGATTATCAGCTACAAATCTGATGGCTGCCCATCCATTCTTTGGAACTCCAATGGTGTTTACTTCTGGTGGATCAACCAAATTGTAGGTCGTAGGCGACGTCGTACTGTTGAAATTCCCAGAACCAGTTCCAACCAAATAGAAGCTGAAACCATGGAGATGCATTGGATGGTTCTCAGGTGCAATGATGCTGGTCCCTTGGAAGACTATCTCAACTCCTTCACCATAGTTGATCATCCTCACCCTCGTCCCAAAGCTTGGATATATTGTGTTGTTTGCTACGTCTCCCGTGAAGTTATAAAATAAGGTGGTATGTCTGGGAAATTAGTTGCGTACACTCCACTGGTATTTCCCCTGCACATAGGCAATAAGTTGGGAAACCTTATATTTATACATAGAAACTTCATGAACTATAATACTATAATTTTATAGCATGTACTGTTTGATGCAAAAAACATGCACATATGCATATGCTAATAGATGGAGTCTCAACATAATTTGTGGAAGAAAAACATGATAGGTACCCATAATATGCTTGCAGTACACTATTAGATGGAGTCTGAAAACTGATGTTGTTTAAGCTTGCAGCAAGCGCATTTCCATCTGGCCCAGCACAAGAAGAATTTGTGCAAATCCTTTCATTTATTGAAACAGCGATGTACATCGACGTTGAGATGTTTAAGGGGACACTAATAGGGTGGTCTTCGCTTGCCAAGGCCCTCACTTGCTTAGTGAAGTTTTCAGCAGCTGTGTCGTCATCGTGATCTGGAAGAGTCGGGAAGGGAGTGGTTGAGGGGGTGCTGTAGTTGCCGTTGTATTCAAGAATTGCAGTGGTGGTGCCGTTGTGGAATGCAACATTCCCGTCAACAAAAGAAGTAGCAGCGATGTAATAGTGGCTGGGAGGCTGGTTTGCAGTGACTAAAATGTCCATGGTTTGGCCTGGAGTTATCATGATGTAAGGGGTGGTTATAGGTTTTATGTATGCAGCATCTTGAGCTACCACTGTCAGGTTGTGGTCGGCGATGGCGAAAAACTTTTCTTCGTTCATCACCGCGTTGATTACACGGAGAAGATAGGTCTTGCCAAAATCAACCAACCAACGATATGTTGTTTCTGCACCATTAAACACGTGAATAAATCAAACACTATATTAAAAGTAAAGTAAATGTTTGTATATTTTACGCGGTATTTTCCTCTATTACTTATTGATTTTGGATAAAATAATAATGTCTCGTTGTAAAATAATTGTAGTTGATATAGACTTCAATGATAATAAAAAATAATAAAAAAACCACCGATGTATGACTGGATCATTTGGTTTATTGGCATTCATTCTTCACATTGTAAGAGAAAATTATGAGTTCAAATCTCAATGGACGACAGCTACTAAATAAAATAGCATGCAAATTTTTTTTTTCATGAAGAAGCAAAATAGTGACTTTCAATCATTTTCTTGAAGTTTTAACTATTTATTTTTTTAATCATTCAGGAGTTGGGATTCAAATTTAATACTTCTAAGGCCCTATTTGGTTCACTGAATGGATTTGAGAGGAAATCATTTCCCAAGGAATGGGAGTGAAAGATTCTTTTTCCACGTTTGGTAATGTCTAGAAAGTAACCGAGAGATTTCACTTTGTTTTATTTCCCATGTTTGTTTTGAGTAGGAATGGAAAACAAAGTTTGTATAATTTTTCAATTATACCCATATTAAATCAAATAAAAAAATATGCATTTAATGATACGTTGTAATTCTAAATTGTTCATAGGGACAAAATAGTCATGAAAATTGTGCATTGAATGTTAACTAATTTTCCCAAACTTTCCCGTAAGGAGGGAAAACAAAACCCAAGTTAAGAGGAGAGCTTCAATTTCCCCTCTATTTTCCCATATGTCAGGCAACCATTTCCCATGCCTGGACTTACCAAACATGGGAAAGCAATTGAATTCTCATTCCCAAGCCTCCTTTCCCATTAACCAAACAGGGCCTAATAGCAGTTAGGAAGATAAATATCACTCAATCAAGAGTTAATTTTAAATTGATTACTACGTTTTCCTAACTAATCACCACAAGTCAGAAAAGCTAATATCCTTTGCACGTTAATATTCCACAGACACCTAGAAGTCTTCTTCATATTTACGTGGGATGTTACCATCATCCTTCATGTCAACCCCAGTTAGAAATTTACTCAATCAAGAGCTAATTTTAAATTGATTACTACGTTTTCCTAACTAATCACCACAAGTCAGAAAAGCTAATATCCTTTGCACGTTAATATTCCACAGACACCTAGAAGTCTTCTTCATTTACGTGGGATGTTACCATCATCCTTCATGTCAACCCCAGTTAGAAATTCACCCCATTGCTTTCTCACTTGTATGTATAAATAACAATAAAATAATTAATGGGATTAGATTATTAAAGTATATTAGATTTGGAGCTTCGATTATAATTACCGTTAGAGCAACTATACAAATGTCCGGGCTGTCCATTGATTGTGAAGGCATCTGAAATGTTTGGTTCGCCACCTGTTGCAAGGGCATCTTCAATTATTTCCATCACATCTCCCTTGAACCAGGATCCTGCAGCAACAGATCAAAAAGGAATATAATTATTAAGATCCAATGGTGCAGCAGTACGATGTAAAATTTTGTGTTTTTACTTCAAACTTCAAACTTAAATTCAATGAACAGTAGCCCAACTCCTTATAAATTTGCAAGGTTTTCTAATTTTTCAATGTGGGAAATTTTCATCTTCACATTCTCGCACGCAAACCTAATACGTGGACAACATATATTGGTTGACATAGAGCACGTGTGGCCATTGGGCTTTCACCTGTTGGCAAACCAGGCTTTGATACCATGAAGGAAGTTAAGGTTTCACCCCAAAACCAATTAGCAATGAGTGGAGTAGCCAAACTTGTTATAAGCCCTTACAAGATTTTCTAACTAATTTTCAACGTTGGACATTTTCACCTTCACATTCTCACTGCTATGACATGGCCCACAGTCTTCTTTATTTTTTTGGTCAAAGTTTGGAAGATGGGTTGGGAAATGTGCTATTGAAGTTCGAGCATGCGACCACTGATATGCAGGCAAATGATCTTACCATTGATCTATGGATTCGTTGGCCTGTTCTTGTAACATACAGTTAAATAACCAAAACATATACATCTTGATATAAATAAAAGTACCTAGAATTAGTGTTTCTTGTGCATCTGGCGTTGCAAATGGATAAGTGGTGTTGGCAGCCGGTAGAATAATGATGGCACCGTAGACAGTGGCGCGTGACCAATCACTATGAGCATGCCACCATAAAGTTCCTTCCTCAGTCGAGAAGATAATCTCGTACGTAAAGTTTGTTCCTGCCGGAATAGGGCACTGAGTTACGTTCTCAGGTCCATCTGACCATGGATTTCTTGGTTGCTTCACTCCATGCCTGTAAATATTACACAAGATAAAAGGGTTTGTCTTTTCTTTTCATGGTTTTACATTATGAAGCAATGAAAACAAAATGGAAGGTTTTATTTTTGTGTTTATTAAAGAAAAGATTAAAGCCAGAGGAAAGTTCCATTCAGGATGCACAAGAATAGATACAACATGGAGCTTCCCTCCCCCTTCCTCTCCCCTCGTTTTTTTATTGTTTTCCAGATGTTATTCACAGTTTCACTTTCACGCCATGCACTCAAAATTTACTATTTTATTCTCTCTCTCTCTCTCTCCCGCCTAAAGATATGAATATTCCAAGTGGAGACTGTCTCAATCCATATATCCAAACGCACCTAGCCTAGCCATCAACCAATCAACGATCCATAATTTGTCACCAAAGCTTATATTCTTTTTTTCCTACTTTTTTTGTCAGTATCTTTCAAAGCTTATTTTCAAACTGGTCAACGTCAGAAAAAAAAAATTAAAAAAAATCCGGCACTGCTAACCTCGACGGGTTTGGTCACAATTCCTCAAACTGTTTTTATTCGTCATCTATTAGCTTTTCTCTAGTTTAGTGAGCCAAAAAAAAGGAAAAGCATTCTGATCTAGAGCTATTATAATGGGGCTGCTAGCTAGGCTGTTACCAATGAATTGTGAGACCGTACAATCCTTGGTTGTGGACATTGACAAAAGCAGTATCTCCTTTCTGAACAGTGATGGTCGGGCCAGGCAAACTGCCATTCACAGTTAGGATGCTCTTTGTGCTGCAAAGCCTTGTAAAATTTGTTTCTTGTAGCTGCAAAATATCACAAAACGGACACCAACATTTTATTACACAATTCTACTGAAATACTCATAAAAATTCTAAGCACATTATCCACTAAAAAGGAAAAAAAATATGAAAAATTCGAGCCGAAGAAACCGATGATGATGAGCATGCAAGGGCTATCAAAATGGTATTAGTGTAATGTAGCAAGCACTTACAAAAAAATCATAAAAATGGGTAGCGCCATCAGCCTTGCAAATCCTACCCAAGAACATAAACCCTAGAAAAGCTAAGACCCAACTCATTTTGTTAAACTCCATTTCCAGGTCTTTGCCAGAAAATATTGATTTCCCTATTGCTATGTGGCTGTGTCCTTCAGGTCACCCTTGAGTTGTTGTTGTGCGGTTTTGGTCTCAGCTCAAGAGCTATTTATAGAACATGAGAATGTCTTAACAGCGATTTCCTCCCATATGATTAGATTTCAATTACGTACCTAACGAGTTGTAAAAAATTTGGTCCAAAAGAAAAAGAGACGTATGAAAACGAAACATGTGTAGATATCTCTAGGTTTTCCACTGCACAATGCCGCGTTGGTGACAATTTCAGACAATAGTTAATGCATTCGACGAATAAAATGGCAGATATTGTATTTAATGATTCTTTAATGTATGACATACTAGCAAATAATAAATTAGGCTGGTAAATATCAAACACGAATAACTAAATTTTAACAATGTTTGACCGATTTGTTTTTCTCTGTTCGGATCTACTTCGCTTTTATTCTAAGACTGTCGATTCATTGAAAACTCATCCAAAACCTAAGAAATTGACACTTCAATTTATTTATTTTAAAACAGAAGAACTTTAAGAAATAGAATTATACACTCCGTCTGCTCCTCCCCAAAACCACTAATCCTTCTTCCTCCGATAGCTTTTGAAGTTTTGGAACCCAAATGATAGTATCAACAAGGGGCGTGGTATCTCAATCACCAAGAAATTACCACATGAATACATTCATCCTTAAAACAATGAAACAAAGTTTGAGTTCTTAGATATTATTTTTTAGGAGAGCATTTTTGCTCACCACTTTAACCGGAGGTCTATGCTCACCGTCCTTCTAAATACTTGACACGTGTCTATATGCATAACCATGATTCCATAAATACAAAGTAAAAAGTTAACTATAGTTATGTCTATGAACACATGTCTTAAGAAGAGTGCTGAGGATATATACACATTTAGTTAAAGTGGTGAGCAAAAATGTGAGTGTTAAGTTTAGCCGACACCGCCTCCTCAGGTTTCATTGCCGTTTGACTAATAAAGGTTCCCTTGCCGGTGGGGTTCTCTAGAAGAATATTTATCTTGCAAGAAGAATATTTATCTTGCCGGTGGGGTTCTCTAGAAGAATATTTATCTACGTACTGATAGAACCTACCCATTTTGGATTACATCGTGCCTACTAGTCATTAGGTAGCAACGTATTCCCTTACCTATCCCGGCCAAAGGTTTTATCATTTTTGCACATGCATTTCAATACATCTTCCTTACTCATTAGGTAGCAACATCAACAGATCGTACCAGTGTACAATTCAATACATCTTCCCTACTCATTAGGTAGCAACATCAACACATCGTACCAGTGTCAGTGTCCATACATTTCAATCGGATGTGTGTATTTTCGTTTCCACAAGGCCTTTTCCATCACAGAATAAACTAAGAAATTAACAAAATCATTGCGACGCAATATTAGTATCGATATGACTCAATTAATTGAACACGTTTAAAGGCATGTATTCCGTATTCTTCTACCATGAGAACGCATCCCTTGATGAAGAATAGATGCAATTAACTTGTTCTCCTTGGTTGGAGGGTTGAATCCAAAAATGAATTCTTCACACATTTTATGTGATACAATTAGCTAATAAAATATACAGAAATAACATAATACAATATATAGAAATAATAACATAATACAATATATTTAGTTAGATGGCAGGTGTGAATTAGGCCAGTTACTCAGAGCAGTGAACCCGTTCCCTTACACCCAAATTTGAGCTGCGAGTCCACCCATCTTTATTTATTGTAATAAAAATACAAACATTGGACGACTATACAGTCCGGTGAACTCAAACAATGGAATTAGTCAACACGCGGTTCAAATTCCTTGATAGCTAGACTCCTATATTGCTTTGAACTTAAAGGCTGTAGCAGCAGCCACCGCTTGGTCAATTATTGGCCCAATTGCAATATTCTGGGGGTCAGCCAATGGAGTGCATTCTATTTAATTTTTATCAACTTTGACTGTACGAAGGAAAGTATCTTCATCAAACAAAATATAAATCGTCTATTATAAGAGCATCCTGAATAAAATTAGGGGCATCGTTGTAGAAAAGTGGGCCAAATTCTTTTCTCCCCTTATATGCATTCGGATTCGATTCATGTAGCAGACAATCTTGAGGTAACTCAATGTATTACTCATCCATTCCCTTTCTAGCACATAGCAAGTTGAAGAGCATTTCAGTTGCCACGAAGACGAACATGTTGGGGAAGATAATCCGTGACCTTAATTAGTGCAGCTAATTAGTAACCTGCTTTCAATTTGACTCTGACTCTGGGACTCAGTCACCGTGTTCTATATAAAAATCCAAATTTGATTTAATTTTCAAACCCGCCCTTGACAAGGAAGCGTTTGAGCTATTGAGATACAATCACAAGGAAGCGTGTGGCTTTTTAAGGCTTGACAGACAGCAAATTGTTAGCTGTGGCTTTGTTGAAGCCAGAGGTTTAATTTGTCATCCAAGTACTAATTGCCTTAATAACTGATTTTGATGTGAGATTTCTTCACCTACCTCTGGGTTCTGATTAAAACATGTGCGGCCGGGCTTTTATTCTAAGGCCTTACAATTTAGCGCAACGTCAGGAGATATCTCACTAATTAGCATACTTAATATAGAGTGCTGCTATTTTCACCTACAAGTTCAATTTCCCCACCCATTTTATTTTCAAAAATTTAATAACAAAGTTACCTCATTGTAAAATGACTTTTGATGACAAATTTACAACTCTCTCACACGCATGCACCCACACCCATCTCCAACCAATTTAGGGGCATGTACAGCCACCTCTGTCACTAGTTTAGGTGTTGGTTTCGGATGGTCTTCCTGGACCTCCTTAATTGTAATGCTTTGTGGGGAATTTCTCTTAGCTGGGGCATAGGCCTCAGATGAAAATTCCTCTTTTGAATGCTTTGTACTTTGGCTCCAGTGGCGTTGGAGTGATATATATATCTATTTATTTTGGGTTTTGTCTAGCGAAGGAGTGAGGGTTGCGGTGGGAAAATCAAATTGGTGGCAGGGATGGCTGCGGATATGGGAGAAGGATATGTGGATGTGGGTGTGATGGCCGTGGTGTTAACTGTTGGGTTTTCACCAAAGGAGGAGGTTGGGGGAGGGGGGGGTGCAGCGAGGGCATGGGGTGGGAATGAGCTAATTGAAGAAATCTTTAATTGTTTTTTATAGAATTTTTTTATATTGTAATGGTAAATATGAAAATACAATTAAAGGGTATTTTAGGAAAAATAGTGGGTGGAAAGATAAGTTTGCGTTTTTTCAAATTTACATAATGGGTTGGAAAATAGGATAAGGGGATGGAAATAGCAGAACTCTTAATATATTGACCAGTCACTTATTGGATGCAAAATAATATTTGATCAACAAAATTTTTATTTTTTTTACAATGTGATATTCTAATTCAGGGATCCTGAGCTTATGCATTAAGAATCACTACTACAAAAAGGGAAAAAGAAGACCATAAAACAACAACGGTATAAATAAATACCGTCATTGTGACGGTAACAGAAAACCGTTGTGGATAAGTAACTTAAACACCTAAAAATTCAAGATCCACTTGGGTATTTATAAAACATGACGCACCGAACTTAAAAACAGTCATCTTATTAAACATGTTTCTCAAGACGTAAATTCTTAACCCCCAAAACAACGACCGCATGCATGAAGCTACCGACATAGAAAGTAAAGACGATGTTTTATGAAAACTACCACCGTGTTAACTGCTAGTTAAACACGACCAACTATTCTTAATTAGCATCGTATAATTTTAATGGACTCCACGTCGGTAGATTCGTAAGCAGTGCCGTATTAAAGTCATATACCACAATGGTAAAAATAAATTTATCGATGTATTAATGTCATGTACTATGACGGTATTTACTCATTACTGTCATAAAGAGTAAAAGTGAACCACTGCACTAGTAGCATAGATAACGATGTCTAAATATAAAAATATCCACGTTGTATTTTTAATATTTCAGGACATGTCAAGTTAGTACACTACGATGGGCTGTATAAATAAATGGTCGAGGTAAATTTCATTTACCACTTCATTATTTAGAATATAGTGTTGGGTTGTTTGTACGTAACACATCGGTTTCTTCACTTATAGCGTCGTATAATATTATTTTTCCACTTTGTTAATTGAAAATATCGTCGTCTCTATGTCCTTTAGACGACTGTCCTTCTTTGATTACAGTCGTTTGAAATTTGTATTGCTTTTTAAGATTTATTTTCTAGATTTTGGTGGCCTACGACGGTAGATCAACAAAATGACAAGTATGGAGTAAAAAACGACAATTTTCTAACGACAATTTCTATAGAAAATTGTCGTATGCGATATAATTTTAGGCTTATTTACTAAATGAAATCATCAAAGAAATGCAAATGAGATCCCAAGAGATATGAAATCTTACCAGTGGGAGCTATGTTCCTCATCACAATCGAACCACCAATATGAGAAAGACAATATATTGAAAGTTAATGATATATGTGTGTCATCAATATTTTGGACCTTCAGTGAGTTGAGAGAGACACACACACATCAACTTCCAAATTATTGCCTCCCACCCAAATCATATGTCCCATATCCACCTTAGGATTAACAAAAAAAAAAAAAAAAAAAAAAAAAAAAAAAATAAAAAACATAAAAATTGCTTAAAACTTGACTGTATCGGATTTAGTTGTGCGCAAAATTGATTCAGTTGCATTGTTAACTTGTGATAGATTAATTCAACAAGGTCGATCTTGAAAATGGTACTTAGGTGACGAGGGGTAAATTTAATCACACAAACAAGACACAACAACACAGCAATCTTCACACACTTTAAACCTTGACCAAATACACATATGACTAGTCAACTGCTAGCCATGAACAATCACAATCAAGAGAATACACAGAGCATGCCACAATGTACCTGCAACCCTAGAAAATTACTAGTGACAACCTAGGCACTCAGAAGGACCCGTCA